AAAACCCTCAGGCTAATTCATATAAATGTTCTCCTACAAATCATCATGCAAAAATGCAGTTTTAACATCAAGTTACTCAAGCTCAAGATTAAAACTAGCTGCTAATCCCAGTACCACTCGAATAGAACTCATCTTTACAACTGGAGCAAAAATCTCATCAAAATCGATGCCTGGTTTCTGAGAAAAACCTTTTACTACCAATCGAGTTTTATACCTCACTAGTTTGTCACCATCTTTTTTCAACTTGAACACACATTTATTCTTTAATGGCCTCTTCCCTGTTGGAAGTTTAACAAGATCATAAGTACTATTCTTTCGTAATGACTCCATCTCTTCTTTCATTGCTTTTAACCAGTGCTCTCTATCCGAAGTAGCCTGCACATCTTGGAAGTTTTCTAGCTCACTTTCACTGGTAACTAAAATAAAATCTGAACTTGGATACCTAGTAGATGACTTGCACTCTCTAGTAGATCTTCTAGGCTGAGACTCTACATCACTTGATGCCAAAGGTAGCTCCCCATGCTCAACACTCTCAGGTAGAAAGGATTGCTCCCCCTACTCAAAACTAATAGCATCTGGCTCATCACCAACTGTGGCTGGCTCATTCATATCCTCAAGTTCTGTTTCTTGCTTATTTTCACCATCTGTGGCTCTTTCTTATGAAACCCCTGTCAGTGTTAAAACATCACACTCAACAGTAACCCGTGTAATCTTCTTATTTTTCTCAAGGTCTGCTATGATTTTTTTTTCATGAAAGACCACAACCCTACTTTTGATTGTCTTTCTCTTTACTGGATCCCATACCCTGTAGCCAAATTCTTCATCACCATATCTTACAAACATACACTGTGTAGCTTTACTGTCAAGCTTTGATCTCTGCTCTTTCAGTACATGCATGAATGCTTTACACCCAAAAACTTTCAAGTGAGAGTATGAAGTATCTTTCCCTGTCCACACTCTTTCTAGAATGTCAAAGCTCAAAAGAACTGATGGTGACCTGTTAAGTAAATAACAAGCTGTGTTGACTACTTCACCCCAGAATAGCTTTGGTAATTTTGCCATCCTTAACATACATCTGACTTTTTCCACAATTGTGTGATTCATTCTTTCAGCTATACCATTATGCTGCGGTGTTCTACGTTCTGTCCTCTCATGTTTGATCCCATGCTTTGAGCAATACTCTTCAAAGCCTTTAAATGTGTATTCCCTACCATTATCAGTTCGAATACACTTCAAGGGTAACCCTGTTATCCTTTCAACCATGACATAAAATTTTTAAAAATACTGTAGTACCTGACTTTTATATTTCAACATATACACCAAAGTCTTACGTGAAGCATCATCAATAAAAGTAATAAAATATCTGCTACCACCTAATGACTCAACCTCAATGGGACCACATACGTCAGAATAAATTAATTCCAATCTATTTTCTTTTCTCTGAGAACTTTTATGAAAAGAAACTCTATGATGCTTACCAAATAAACAATAATCACATGAATCGAGAGACATACATTTGGTCAAGGGAATGAGAGACTGCCTTGCCAAAACCTGTAACCCTTTTTCACTCATGTGTGCCAGCCTCTTGTGCGCCAGCCTCTTGTGCCACAAGTTTGCTGAAGCATCATTTTCAACGGTATTTACTTGGTTACCGTTCAATTGCATCCATGTCTTATACATTCTGCAGCATAGTTTTCCCCTTGTAACTACCATAGATCCTCTGAGAAGCTTCCACTGTCCATTCTTTTGTCGGCTTTCATATCCCTCCTTATCAAGGACATTAATAGCAAGCAAGTTCATTCTCATATCTGAAATGTGTCTGACATCCCTCAAAGTCAACATTCAACCTGTACTAGTTTGTACAATAATATCACCAATCTCAACAATCTGTGACACACTCTTGTTTCTCATCTTGGTACAACCAAAGTCTCCTGCTTTGTAAGTTGTAAACAACTCTCTCTTAAGAACATAATTATATGTCGCTCTTGTGTCAGCTATCCACTAAATGTCGGGATCACTAACATGATTACAATCACCATGTGTACAAATCAAAGTAACTGAATCACTATCTAAATTCACTGTTGTAACATTGTCATCATCTGAACTCTTGCTTTTCTCATCTTTTTACTCTTGCTTCAAGATTTTACAGTTTCATTTTATATGACCTGCCTTACCACAATAGAAACACTTCACTTTACCTCTAGACTTGGATCTATGTTTAGACTTACCATGGCCTTTTAAGTCCTAACCTCTATCGATGTTTTTACCCCTGTTCTTTATGACCAGAGCTTGATTCCTAGGGTCTACATCTTTTCACCTTGCTTCTTCATTAAGTATATTGTCCTTTACCATCTCCAATGTCACCTTATAATCAGGAGCTGAATTAAGAACAGTCACAACTAGAGTATTCTAGCTGTCTGGCAATTAACCCAAAAAAAATAATGCTTTCATTTCATCATCCATCTTAAGCTCTATAATAGTCATCTGATTAAATATATCTTGAAAATCACTCAAGTGTTCTGTAATAGATCGTCCATCCCTGTACTATAAAGTTGTAAGCTTTTTAACAAGCATAACTTTATTCATACCTATTTTTCTATCATACAATGCTGCCAATTTTTTTCAAACAATGTGAGCATCTGACTCCTACGCTACATGATGGAACACGCTGATATCAATCTATTTTCTGATTGTAGCCAGCATCTTTCTACCTAGCTTCTTCCAACTTTCATCTTTCATATCTGCTGGTTTAGCCGAATCACCCAATACTGGCTCATACAAATCTTTGCAGTATAGATGATCCTCCATCATAAGCTTTTAAACTGAATAATTCGATGTTGTCAATTTTATCATGGAACCTGTATCACCCTCCATGATCTCAAACAGAATTTACTTCTATCCTGGGTTGCTTCTGTATCAATGTTTTAAAATAACCCTCACTCTGATACCACTTGTTGCGCCTAAAGCAATAATCACAACAATACAAAAGCAATAGACAACAATCAATAATCAAAGATGCAGGAAAAATAAAGCACACCAAGATTTACGTGAAAAACCATCCAGTGTAGAGGAAAAAAACCACGGACGACCAGAAAAATCTTTACTATCAAATAATAGGTATACAAAGTTCTTCTCTAGCTAAAACTAGAGCTAATCAACAACTAGAGAAACAATTGGAAAAATCTCATCAAATAAGTGACTCAACAAATACACCCTGAATTTGTTTCTAAAGAGCTTCAAAACCGATCTTCATCGTGCAGAATGTAGAACTCTGAATCATAAATCTCCTGACAAGGTTCTAACTCAATCAGACCACGGATCGACTTCTGTTCAACCAACTCTCCCTTCTCTTTTTTCTCTTTGCTTTTCCTGGCTTTTCCTCTTTCTTTACTTGGTTTTCGACACACACTTAAAACAACCCCACATCTTTTTTATTAAGTAGCTAGGGCTCTGTGTAAAATGAAAGATCAAGGCCCATAGCCTTTACTTGGTCCAAAACCACTTACATGAGGCTGGACCCCATTTTCTTAACAGTACTAAATATATGATTTTCATGATTTTATATAAAGTTGAAAATATTCACAATACGACAATAATGGTTATCATGAAAAAACAAAATTAAAATTTTTTTTTGAAGGAATATTTGTTAGTGAAAAATAATGAATTGAATTCAATGGATACAAGATATCATATGAGAAAATTAATTAAAAAAAATCATGTACTCGAGTATTTAGCTCAATAAGAGTTGGGTTTAGGTTCGAATCTGTAAAGATCCATACTCAACATAAGAGGTATTGTTTGTTTTGACTTGAAGGTCTCACAGTTTTGTTCCACAAAAGACACCTAATAAGTTTGGATTTAAGTCTCAATTTATATATAATATCATATCCACACATTCTTTCAATGTAGATTTGGGGGCGTTACACAAGTTTGGGTTTAAGTCTCAATTTATATATAATACCATATCCACACATTCTTCTAATGTGAAATTGGGGGTGTTACAATCTCCTCACCTTTAAAACTTAACGTCCCTGTCAAGTTAAATCCAACCACAGGACCAATATCACACCAGACATTGGGATTCTAAAAGTGACTCCCCACCATCTAGCACCTAGTAACGCCCACGATGTAGTACTTAGCTTTTGTCGTCGAATCCAATCACAGGACCAAGATCATACCAGACGTTGAGGTTTTAGAAGTGGCTCCCCACCATATAGCACCTAGTAACTCCCATGATGTAACACTTACTTCTGGTCGACAGGTAACCACTCTGATACCATTTGTGGAGACCCACGCTCAACTTGGGAGGTATCGTCCATTTTAACTTGAAGGCCTCACGGTTTTATCCCACAAAAAGCATCTCACAAGTTTGGGTTTAAGTCTCAATTTATATATCATACCATATCCACAGATTCTTCCAATGTGGAATTGGGGGTGTTACAAAATCTCTTTCCTTAAATCAACAAATACCTATTTTTGAAGTGTTATTTACTCTAAAACTTTAAACTTTTCTCATTCCTTACTACTCATCACCTATAGCTTTTACATGTGATGCATGCTTAGGCACTAAATCATTTTCCTTTAGGTAGCTTAATTGACGGTGCAAAGATGGTAGCTCCAGCATTCTGATGTTGTTGCTCATCTCATCTTTTTCTCCAATGGGGGTAGTCAATATTGCAAATTGTAAATTTATGTGGAATTCTGCAATGTTTCGGTGCGTGCACACCGTGGATTCAAGTCCAAGCTAAGGTAATAAATTTCAGGTAATTTCTTTTTCACTTATCCAATTCACATTGACAAGTCTTCCTCTCTAAGTCGTCGCACTCTAATCTTTTCAATAATGGACGTAGCTCTCATTCTGCAAATTGGCTTCCCTATGGAGGCTAAAGCAATATTTTCTACGTTTTAGCTCTGCAGAGCAGTCTATATAAACTCATTCGAAACAATCATATCTCATACCATTAATTTTCATATTCTCTTGCTAGAAAAAAAAAAAAAAAAGATGTGGTGCTTACTCCGAGCGTATCAATTCCTTTACCTTGTCTTGTTCTTCTTGCTTTTTCAAGCTAATCTGTCATCCTATTCTTCTTCTTCTCCAATAACTCAGCTTTGCTCTCACGATCAAGCTGTTAAACTGATCCAGTTCAAGAACTCTTTTGCCATTGATAAAACTTCTTCTTCGGACTGTGACTATTTTGGCATTAAATCTTATCCTAAGACAAATTCATGGATGGAAGGTACGGATTGCTGCTCATGGGATGGGGTGACTTGTGATAATATAAAAGGTCAAGTGATTGGCCTTGACTTGAGTTGCAGTTGGCTATATGGCATCATCCCCTCCGATAGTAGTCTCTTCCATCTTTCACAGCTTCAGAAACTCAACCTTGCCTTCAACAATTTTGAAGGTTCCGAGATGTCACCTAAGTTTGGTGAGTTTTCAAGTCTAGTGTATTTCAACCTCACTAGATCACACTTTGCAGGACAAGTCCCATCCCAAATCTCCCTCTTGTCAAAATTGGTAACACTTGATCTCTCTCAATTTCCGCTTTCTGACGGAAACTATCGAACACTAGACAAACATACTTTGGAAGGACTTGTTCACAATCTAACTGAGGTCAGACAACTTTTTCTTGATGGAATCGACATGTCTTTTATTAATCCTAATGTCTTTTGGAATCTATCCTCATCTTTAAGGTCTCTAAGTCTGAATGATTGTGGTTTGCGACGAAAATTCCCAGAAAACGTTTTCCACCTGCCAAACCTCAAGTTGCTCAAATTAGGATTCAACAGGAACCTCAGTCTCAATCTTGTACAATTCAATCGAAGCAGCCATCTCAAACTTTTGGATCTATCATCTATGTCCTTCTCTAGAGAATTGTTTGAATCGATTGGCAATTTAGTATCTTTGGAGCATTTGGATTTATCATACGCATTTTTCTCAGGAGGAGGATTGCCCAATTCAATCGGGAACCTTATTTCCTTGAAGTATTTGTGTCTCTTAAATTCCAACCTATCGGGACCAATTCCGAGATCATTGGGGAATCTCTCGCAACTCAGTTATTTGGACTTGTCAGAGAACTCTTTTAGTGGATCAATTCCATCGTCACTCACAAACCTAAAGCAACTTGAATTCTTCTGCATTTTTGAAAATATGCTAGAAGGTTCCATTCCAGATGAGGTAACTGCTTTTCCTAATCTAATCTTGCTAGACTTGAGTTCAAATTTACTTATTGGAACACTTGTATCATGGTTGTATACCATTTCCTCCTTAAAGTGCATACGTCTCTCTCATAACCTATTCAGTGGCCATATCAAAGAATTCCAATACAACTCTCTGGAAGTGATAATGTTAGATAATAATAAACTCCAAGGTCCTATTCCATTTTCAATATTCCAACTCGTGAACCTTAATTATCTCTCTTTATCATCAAATAATCTAAGTGGTATTGTAGAGTTTAGCATGTTCTCCAAACTCCAAAATCTTCGGGTGCTTGATCTTTCATCTAACAGTCTATCCTTAAACTCTAATGGCACTAATGCTTTTTATACATTGCCTAATCTTTCATATTTGGATTTGTCTTTTTGCAATGTTAGCAAATTCCCCCAGTTCTTAAGAGGCTCTGAAAGTTTGAATCATTTAGGCCTTTCCAATAATAGAATTTATGGCAAGATTCCAAAGTGGATGTGGAATGTGGGGAAGGGCTCTTTGACTTACTTAAATCTATCTCACAACTCTTTGACATACATTGAGCAACTTCCATGGGAAGCAATTACATTTCTTGACCTAAGCTCCAATTTGATTCATGGAGATCTTCCAATTCCACCTTTCAGAACATCTGCCTTTTTTATCTCAAAAATAGGTTGAGGCGGAGAGGTCTCCTCTCTCATTTGCAGTATAACTCTCTGGTTATCTTGACTTGCTCACAACAACTTGAGTGGAATCATTCCCAATTGTTTGGGAAATTTAAGTGGCAATCTTTGGATGTTGAATCTACAAATGAACAAATTTCATGGAATCATTCCTCCAACTTTTACAAAGGGATGTCAATTTAAGAATCTCAACTTAAATGGAAATCAATTGGAAGGGCCTTTAACACGATCCATCCTTAATTGTAGAGGTTTGGAACTGCTAGATCTTGGTGACAACAAGATCAATGATACATTTCCTCATTGGCTGGGAAGTCTTCCAGAGCTACAAGTTCTTGTATTGCGGTCAAATCAACTGCAAGGTTCCATACAAGACAATAAGTCCACTCATTCTTTTTCCAAAATCCAAATTTTTGACGTCTCAAGTAATTCCTTCTCCGGAGCACTACCTGTGAGATGTATAAAAAATTTCAAAGCTATGATAGATCTCACAAAATATAAAAGTGCAATGCGATACATGGGGGTGAGTGTTGGGTCTAGTGAATTCTATAGCTATTCCATTGAAATTACAATCAAAGGAGTAGAGATGGAAGTGGTGAAAATTTTCACCAAGTTAACGACCATTGACCTTTCAAATAATAACTTTCAAGGAGAGATTCCAATGGTTATTGGAAAGCTTAACTCACTCAAAGGGCTTAACCTTTCTCATAATAATCTTACTGGATGTATCCCCACTTCAATAGGGAATTTGGTTAGTCTTGAATGGCTGGACCTCTCTTCAAACAAACTGGTTGGCACGATTCCAGAAAGATTGATAGATCTGACATTTCTTTCCATCTTTAATGTTTCTGAAAATCATCTTCAAGGTCAGATTCCACAAGGCAAACAATTCAACACTTTTGGAAATGATTCATATAAAGGAAACAAGGGATTATGTGGATTTCCAGTCTCTAAAGGTTGTAGCAACAGTGAGCTAGCACCTTCGAACTTTCCGGAAGAAGATGGCTCAAAATCGAACATTGCGTTTGGTTGGAAGGTAGTGTTGATAGGTTATGGATGTGGAGTTGTCTTTG